TAATAAAATTTTTATTATTACGCTCTCTTGTTATTCTTTAATTAAATTATTTAATAAACATATTCATTTTATTTATTTTATTATTAAAATGAGCTTTTATAAAAAAATTAGTAGTAAAAGTTATTATAACTTATTTGGTAACTTAAAAATTATGTCTATGCCTTCAACTTCAGATATAAATAATGATGAAACTACTTTTGATATCATGAATGAATTAGCAAAAGATATTAATGATGAAATAGATTTTAAACAATCCTTTACGCAAGATGAATTTTTTTTCTTTATAATTTAAATGATAATATTGAATATATGAAAAACAATTCTAATGATAATTCTTTTGAAATAGATTCTTTTGATAAATTAATACATATTGAAGATAATGAAGATAAATCAAGAATATACATAATCTGCCTATTTAATAATAATAAAGTTTTTTTTTATAGATATATGTATAGATACTGAGGATTTAGATGATGAAAATGAAATTACGAAAATTATAATTGAGAAAAATAATAATATGTCATTTCACTTGTGCAATTATAATTATAGATCCAAAAACTGAAGAGATTAATAAATGCTAAAATCTAAGTATTTGGAAATTATAGCAGTTAGTCAGAATTTGAAAAATTAATTCAAAATCTATTAAAATAGTAAATGCTAAACCTAGTAAACTTGATGTTTATAAAACACATTTTAATTTAGATCAGAATTTTCATGAAATAGGTTATAAAGCAAAAATATTAATAGAACAATCTATGATTACAATTAGAAGATATTTTTTTTGCAATTTAGATATTTATATTATATCTCATGAAAAATTATGTTATTCTTATTCTTGTAATCTAATTGAAAAAAATCTTTTAATTCCTTGTCTAATGTAATTTTCATATTTAGTAATACAATTAAGTCAAGAATCATTTATTTTTAAAAAATCTTAGAATAAAAAAATTTAAAATATCATTATATTTGTCAAATTTATTTTAATTTAAATGGTGATCATATTTACATTCCTTCTAGACAAGGAAAAAGGCATATATCTTATATAAAAAATAATTATCATAATAATAATACTGAAAAAAGTTTAGAATTAATTTATAAATAGATTTTTGATGTTACAAAATCATAGAATTCATTATTAAAAGTCAAAATTTTATCCTAATTATCTCATTTATTAATAATAAATAATAAAGACATTTTTTTAACAAATATTTCATCTAATATACCAAGCTTATTTATGATCAAATCAGCACTTAAACTCAAAAAAGCTGATAAACATGTAATAAATAAAAAACTTCTAATATCATTACAAGAATGTTATGATTTCAGTCAACTTTTAGATAAAAACTTATTATATCTACAAAATAATATACAATAAAAAAAAGAAATATTTTCTAATCTTTCAATTTTATTAAAATATTATAATAATTTACCAGAAATAATTAAAAAGATTTTTTGGGACTTATTGAAATATTATTAAAAAAACAACATGAAAATGTACAAGCTTAACAGAAAAGAAGAGTAATTCAAAAAGGAGCTAAATTTATATATCAAAAATTAGATAAATTTAAATTAATTCATATAGTTTCTTTCTTAACTTCTATAATTTTAACTATAGCAATTAAACATACACATTTTTGGCTTACTAATTATTAGTAAATCTTTGTCGAAGACCTTTATTTTTACTTTCATTACAAGCTATTTTACAAGCTGCTTATATAATTACATATACACAAAAATATGAAAGTAGATTAGAATTAAAAAGAATGAAAGAAATTTTTCTAAAAGAAAAACTAATTTATAGATCTCATATTTGAAATCTTACTGTAATTATTAATATTAGCTTTATGGCAAAATCATTTTGATGGAAAAATTTATATGATACACCTTGTAATACTTTACACGCAATTTTAAGGATAGTTTTTCAGTTTACACTACCTCTTCTTCTTTATGCAATAATTTCACAGAATTCATTAATGATATCTAATTATCAGCGAAAATTATTTGGTCATAATACATTTTTAATAGAAACTTTAGATTTATTTAAAGTAGTTTTTTAGTGATTTTTACAATGTGAATATATTGATAGATCTTTATATTTTTTTAATAATTTTGATGATAGTAATATTTATCAAAAAATTTTATTATATATTTCAAAAGAATGTTCTAATATTCTACCTTATAATATAATAATATTAGAAGCTAGAGAAAGCCTAATGATAATGAAGGAATATATGAAACATGTGAAATATATCTTGAAGATATTGATTTTACACCTATATTAGCTTATAATAATGAAGGATATTTAGAATTTCAAATGTGTCTTGATATTTCAGCTGATGAATCAATTTTTAGATAGATTGTTAATTATAAAATAATAGCAAATCCACATATAAGAATATTATTAGGATCTTAGCACTTAAATAAGGATATGTGTAGAGTTTTAATTAATATCTTTTCTGATTATGGAATTTTTAATTTAACTGCTGCTTTTAGTGCAAAATATTTAACTAATTTTCAAAAATGTGTTGACTATCAAGCTACTTCAAGGAACTTTAGATTTAATTTAGATTATTGTAGGAATAGCTTTACATTTATATATATGGTAATAAATTTAATTACTATTAAAGATATATTAAAATCTAAAAATAAAATTCTAAAGGTTTAGACATATTATTGGCAATAGGTAGGATTATGGAAAGGTCATAAAATAGGTATATGAACTGGAAATTTTGATATGCAAATTGAAAATTTAAAAGCATTTTCCCTTTATTTTATATAGCAAGAAAATTAAATTATACAAATTCAGTAGTTTATGCTTTACATAAAATAGATTTAGATTCATATTTAGAAATAATCTTTCATTATGTAGCTTTGGTAAATATAACTTGTGCAAATTATTTTTTTGCATTTGATGAAGCACTTGAAACTTATAGGGTTAAATTTATAAAGCAATCTTTAACATCATGTATAATAGACTTAGAAATTCTTAAATTACAAATTAAATTAGCACAATTTGAAGTTGAAAGATTAACAACTTTATTAAAAGAATTTTTAGATATAAAAGAACCAAAAATTACATAAAATCATATTATAACTTTTAAAAAAGAAATTATTTGAAAACTTTCAATGGAATTATTTGATTTATTTAAATATTCTACAAATACTAAACATAGATTTTTACAAACTATGCCTCAAATGAATCAAATTGGATATAATAAATTTGTCTTATATTATAAAAATGAAAAAAACGTATAGAAAAATTATATAAACAAGAAATTACTAATGAAGAATCACAAAATACATCTGAAAGAAGAGCTACTGAAGTTGTAGTTTATACTTATGAAAAAATTCAAAAAATATTTAAAGAAACTAAAAAAAATAAAAAGACTAACTCTACATTACAATTACAAATTATTTCTGATCCACAACCTGAATTTTCTATTACTAGAACACAAAGAAATATATCTATTGAAGAAAATAAAGAAGAATTACATAAAAAAATTTGTAATAAAGTTATATATGAAGAAGCTAATAAATTATAACCTCTTATTAAACAAATTGAAAGAACAACATCAGAGCAATTAAAAAAAAAATAGAAAAAGATTTAAATTGAAATAAAAAAAGAATTAGTAATTATATTAATTATAGAAGAAATAAAATAAAAATAAAAAAAATATAAAATAAAAAAAAAAGACATTTTATTTAATTTTTTCTATATCTTTTTAACTTATTTAATAATATTTGTATTTTTTTTAAATAAATAATATTATAATAAAAATTCAATTTATTTATCTGAATTAGTATAATATTTTTTATATTTTTTTAATCTAAATATATTAAAATATATTGATAATTAGAAAATTAAACCTGTTGAGTCTGAAGCGAATACTGTTTACTAATTATTTTTGTGTATTATAGATTAATTTAAAATTAAATCATTGGAAAAAAATAAATAAATGCAATAAAAAAAAACATATGTAACAAGGAATTTGTTACTGACTTTTTATTGTATCTTATGTCTATTTTTAAACTTTTTCAACCTTTCATTTTGAAAGACTTCAACATATTAAAAATTCTAAAAGATTATAAGTAATAAAGGTTAAAGTTGTTCAATATTAAATAATTTTAATATAGTAAGCGTAAATAGATAATAAATACATTTTATAATATTTATTTATATATATTATTTATTACATCATTATATAAAATAATTAATGAGAATCTTCCGCTTCACTTTAAATATTAATATAAAAAATATTAAAACTTAATTCATTTTTTAACTTTTAACTATAAAATTTTTTTTACAATTTATCTTTATTTTACTCATAAAAATTAATTATAACGTTAAAAATTAGTTAAAGAATTGGTGTGTAACAAAATTTATGAAAATCATTTAGGATCGACATATCCTATGACTGATAAGGGGAATTAAAAAAAAATTTTTTACTACCGAATAAAAAAAAGAATAAAACAGAGTTTTGTAAAAGGTGCCAAAACTTTTCGTGACGAATAAGGTTAACAACGATGATTTGTTAATACGAGGGGAAAAACCGAAAATAAAATTTTATTAGATAGGTGAGCTTCACATAACTATAAAAAGTCGAGCTCATTATAAAACTATAAATTTTTTTTTCAAAAAAAAAAAAAAAGCATTATATATGTCGTCTTTGTTGACCAGAATACCAAACTTGGAAGCTCTCGAAATTCCTCCTGAGGCTTATTTCTTCAGTACTTCATGGATTCTTTTGAGTCAATACGCTTTCCATAAATTTAAAAATAGAAAGCCAGGATCATGGATACGAAAAATTAAAAGAATAGTAAAATTCATACTTTGTGAGGAATATAATTATTTTTTTTATTTTTACCAAAAAAATCTTCAAATTCCAAGGATTTTTGATGTATTCATAATTTATTAAAATATTATAAATTAAAGAAATATATGAAAGTAGAAATCTATGCAAAATTATAAAGTACAATTTTAATCTAGTATACTTTTCTTGTCATCGATCATTTTGTTCGGGAGATTTTTTAAATAAGGAAAAAATTTTTCGTGGTTCGTTGTCGGATGTAGAAGCTTCTTGAAGTTTTGCAGGTTTTGCTTCCGAATTATTGATCACGTAAACTTTTCCATCCGTTTCATCTTCAACAATGTAATTGTCGTCCTCCTCATAAATTGAAAATTCGTGGCTATCTTGATCAATGTCAAGTGGAAGCGAAGCTAAAATTCTTTCATTTAAACCTGTGGTATTAATGTCAATTGTAAAATCTGGGACAATATCATTCTCAGCAATTGGTTTTTCATGTTCATCGATTTTGGTTGAAGAGGAAGTTGAAGGGGTTCCTTGGATTATTTTTGTTTTTGTTAAAACATCTAGTTGGCCCTGACGAATACTTTTAGTTCTTGATATTGTAATCGTATTTACACGCTTCCCTAATTTTATCTTTGAAAAAAAATAAAATCACAATAATTTAAAAATAGATATTAAACAAAATCATAATAATTAAGGTATTTTACCATTGGGACAGAAAGTCCATGTATCGTGATTGAAGCAATTACAAGGAAGAAAACAACTAAAAGAAGAGAATAATGTATTATTATTAATTCGTTATTAGTTAAGATTTATTTGTATTTTTAAAACTTCGAGATTACCTGGAAGGATAAGTTCTCGCACTCGGTCAGTTTCTGCAAATTGTTCTTTAGCAACTTGAGCATAAAAGACGGCACCTATGTAATTAAAACAATATATCATTAATTGACCTGATCTGAATATTACAACACGTGATTATAATACTAATACGTACCCACACCGATAGGACCAAACCAACCAGCAAATATACCTTTTTTTTTCGCGAAAAAAAAAATCCTTAGTTTTTAAAAAAAGAAAAAGAAAAAATTTGATTTTTTTTTTTTAAAAAAAAAAATACCTTCGCGATGTGTCTTAATAGCGGGAATTATTTTATAACAAGCCATTACTATCGGAAGGCGACGAAATAAGAGTATAATGATAGAAATTACGATAAGACGCCAGTAGGACAATCCTAAAACTTCATTATCGAACGATGTCCATGGTATTATTGTGCCAAGGTAAACGAAAATGGCTAAGTTAAGTAACAAATCGATGACATCTTGAAAGTGTGATTCAGCAGTTTCTTTACGAAACCAGTCACTACATTATAAAATAAAATATCAGTAAAATCAAGAAATCAATATGTGAAAGACTAAAGCGATAAACTTCGTAATAAAATTTATACAAACTCCCAAGTAAAGGAATTTCCAGCAATAAAACAAGCCAATATGTCATCACTTCCAATTAATGAAACGGCGCCCATAATAAATAACTAAATAAAGATATTCACTTAATATTTAACATAGACTCATAATACTCAAGTTCGATCAAAACTTACAGCCAACACAATAGCATATGTCATAAAGATTTCTTTATCAATCAATTTCCTAAAATATCGAAATTTTAAAAATAAAAAAAAAAATTGAGATATAAAAAAAAATCGCATTTTCTAAACTAATGTAAATACCTAGCCTCGGCAAAGTAAAGTAACTTGCGTGCAACATATCCGATTATAAATCCAATTATAATAGAAAGAACTATTTGATATCCTAATATAAAGTAAACCCATTTTCCTATCGCTTCGCCTGGAGGCATTTGCATTAGATAAATCGCGAGAAAAAGAAAAGGGTATCCAAGACCTACGAATAAATAATTCATTTACGTTCGATATTTAAAAAATATATTTATATAATATATTTTTTTTTTATACACATATAAGATTTACCGTCATTTGCACCACTATTATTGTAATCAATAAACAAATAATAACCGTGTTAATTAAAATTATTATGTCGAATCCTAACTCTATATATATAAAAAAAAATTGCGCTTACCTCTCGGCTGAAACAATATTCCTTACGTGATTTGGAACGTGTTTTTCCGCATAACGTCCTTTCACTACACTATTTGCCAGCACCTAAAAAAAAATGTTTGTTAATTAAACTTCTCATTAAAATATATTACATATTAGATATCCATTAAGAAGCTAAGTTTTGCTTACCGGATCGGTTGGGGTGACACATGAAGAAATCATAAGTGCTTCTAACTATATTTTTTAATAGGGAAGATTACATAAATACTGACATAGCGTAGTTAAACAGAAAAAACAATACTCACAATTGAAACGTTAGGTATGAGTAACCATATGGCAAGAGCACTGACAATCCACATCCAGGACATAACCGGAACAAGCAATACCGTTAGAGATTTAAGTTCTTTCCAAAGATACGCTCTTTACGAACGAACCAAGTAAATCAACAAATTAAAAAATTTATGAAAATAACTTCCGATAAAAAAAAAAAAATCAGGATTCAAACTTACTTGGGCAATGCCACACCTGCAGCCATTACCTGAAACAGAAATAAATACTTAATAATAGTCCTTAAAGAAACTAATGGGAAATCAAAAAAAATATTTACCTGAATGGAGATTACAACACGAGTAAATTCACGTGTAATTATGTCAACATTGCCCCACTTATCTGGTTCAATCACATTTAAAACATATGGGCCAATAATTATTCCGACAATTAAACATAATACTTTAATAAAAATAGATTTTGACATCGGAATTAGTTTATGTGTGTGGTAAAGCACGAAGAAGGTATGAATACTTACACGATTCTGACAGGTATAACCGTTCTTTGATGTAATACGAAACAAGACCGAAAACAACAATAAATCCACCAAAAATTGTCGCAATAACGGAAACTTCATTAAGATATATAAAATCCATAATGGTCTTTTTCTTTTGGAAAATTCTTCGAGTTCCCAAAGTCAACATTTTATAGAATAAAACCATTAGAGCACGTGCACAATGACGTGCATAATAATCCACAAAAATTTATTTTTGGCTAAAATATCTTGTAACATTCCGGAAAATAGTTTCAAATCAAATTTTTAGATTTTAACATGATTACAAATGCCAAAATACAATTGAAAGTATTCAGCCAAAATCTTGATAACAAAAAACTTTAAATAAAAATTTTTTTGTCAAAATTAAAAATTAGCTTAAAAAGTAAATATATTTTATAACAATTTAAAATACTTATATCTTACGATTTTTTCGACATCAGTCACACCACGGACTTGAGCGGGATTTCACTATGACACTATTTAATAAATTAGTCTTTCAAAATTCGGAGAAAACTATTTAGCCTAATTTATCCCTGAAGCAAAGTTTAGACTAGACGATTTTTAACTGTTTTGATATATAGCATATTATAATTATAACTATACAATAAAAGGAATTAATTAGTTTTTTAAGAAAGGAAACATACCCAAAAGTATATCAAAAGATCAATAAATTGCTTTTTTTTTTTTTTTTTTTTTTTTTTTTTTTTTTTTGTTTAATCATTTCGAAAAGACAACAAACCTTCAAAAAAAGATCTTTAAAAAGATCCTACTGTTAATATTGGTTAGTTTTTTACGTGAAGAAATGACCATTAAGATATCGATTTGCCTTTATGTTGTCTGTGAATTGTTTTATTATATCCAAAAGAGACGAACACTTTTGGGTGGGTCAACTAAGTAAATCTAACTATATATGTGTAGGTCTGTGGGCCCAGACTAGAATTATTTTCGTTTTGCATTATTGTTTGTATTGCAAAATGTCTCGCGGCGTAATTTCAATGAAAATGACGACAACTTCACCAGATGTTTCTTCAACTTCTTTAAGCAACTGAAGATTCCTATACTTAATGGAAGCAATATGATACTAAATTAGATCAAGAACTTAATAATATGTCTTTATTCATTTTTGATGTGCTGCTCACATTATCAATTTGGTAATAAAAGCTGGAATAAAATATGTAGGAGATGAAATCAAAAAACTTTGCTAATTTGTTATTAAAGTAAAAAATTCACCATTATTATTGGATAAATTATTAGAAATTTGTACTATTAGAAAGGTTAAATTTCTAAACCAATTTTAGATATAGATACCCACTGGGAATGAATTGCAAGGCAAATTTTAATGCAGAATATTTCTGATCTGCTTGTAACAACAAATCCTAAAGATCTTGATAAATCTTTTTCCAACAATTTTTGAATGGGATTGTATCAAGGTATTTATTATTTATTATTATTTATTTTTAATGATTAATTTTACAACTTATGTATGAAGCAAACAGTTATTATCATCATCATTAAATCCTACTCAAGGTGATATACGATTGGTTTTTGTTGAATTGTTTAAAAAAAATTGAATCAATATTAAAGAGGAGATCATCACACACAAAAGAATAGCATCAGCTATTTTAAATTACACTTCTACAATTTCTTCGGTATTGGGACCACGTTACAAAATCACATTATTTGATAATAATGACAGCTAAATAATTTACAAGAATTATATATACAGTATAACATATTCTCAATCAAAATAATTATCAAAGAATTTCATGTGATGAATTAGATAGATATCTAAATATAGTAGTGCCAATCCTTTAATTTGGTTAGAAACAGGTTAAATCCTGAAACAGCAAGGGTAATTATTTGTATGAAGCATTGGATTTCGGGAAAAGGGATAGTAGAAAATTCATAAATTAATATTTAAAAATTGTCGGGATGGATATTAGATAGATCGCAAAAAAAATTTTTTTGGTATTATTTGATTTTTTTTTTTTTTTTTTTTTGGTTTGTTTTTTATTATAATAAAATTTTTGGATTGGAGATGTTGAAATTAATACCCATTGCACTTTGTGTCGCGAATTCTATTTTTTTTTTTTTTTTTTTAATTTCGTCTTTTAAGATTTTTTTACAATATCTGTATTTATAAACTCCGGTCTAAATTTAAATTTCGGTCTAGACTCCAATTTCAAATCGGTCTACAAATCGGTCCGGTTCGATTTTACCCTCAAACCGACAAAAATCGGACCGAAACCGAATTGGTCGAACCGTCTATATATGTGGTACCATATAACAATCTGATTTTAATTAACATAATTACTAAGATCGATAATTTAAAATGGGCAAATGGTTCCAATTTGTTGGTATTTCTACAGCTTTCTCCTGTTGATGATGCTCTTCATTGAATTGTTTATTTTTTTTAATGCGTGCATTTTTTCATTTGTAAACACTCATTTTAATTATTAATGACCAATAATTCTAACGTGAAATTTGAGGTTGATATGAAGTTTCGAAGAACTAAACAATATAGCAAAATTCTAATTTAGTTTTTTAAAAAAAAAAATTTACCAATCAATTTATAAATCGTTTGGGCAAACCAAGTAAAAATGCATTTTAAATATATAGATTAAGAAAAGTGTCCTATAGGTGATGTAAAAAAGAATTCTATGGCTAATAAATAAGGATTGATTTTTATTAAAGCTTTTGAGAGAGGAATAATTCAACCCGCGCGTCTAAAAAAAAAATATGGCCTAGCTTTAAATATAAGAGAGTATATTTTGTTGACTAAAACACGTGTATATTTAAAATCTTAAAAAACGGATTTTTGAACGCATACTGGTTTTTACTTTGTAAATTTTCAATTAATCATCTGTTTATTATTATAAATACAAAAAGAAATAAAGAAATAATAGAACGGGGAAAAGATTTATTAATGTAATTATTATTAAAAGGTTATTTGTTTTTTTGTATAATGTATAAAATGTATAAATACTAAAAGTACATTTTGGGTTTTGTTTAATTACAGGATTTTTTTTTATTTTATTTTTTTTTACAAAAAAGGTGGATTATGCAATAGGTGCAGGTGCAGCTACTTCAGGATGCAACGAGGGTGCATTAGAAGCGAAAGCAAATATGCCACCAGCAATACATGCGGCGACTGGAAGTGTTAGAATCCTAAATTTTTTTAAAAAATTTTTTGAATCTCAATTCCTTAATATTTTAAAAAAAGTAAAAAAAAAAGTAAAATGAAAACAAGTTCTTACCAACTAAAAAAGCACCAGGCTAGTAATTTCCAGTTGAGAGATTTCGCGTTTCCGTTACATAAACCAACAGCCGCCGTCGCTCCAGTGATGCAATGTGTTGTTGAAATTGGGAGACCAATCTTTGAGGCCGTTAAAACAGTTAATGAAGTGCCCAATTCCATGGCAAAACCACGAGATGGGGAATGATAAGTAATTTTGTTCCCGAGAGATCTCATTACATGATATCCATAAAGGAGAAGACCCACGTCAATGGCAAACCCTCCTAAAGCTAAAACCCATAGAGGCACCGGTGTTTTGCCTGAAACATCAACTTTACCAGATTCATAGATAAGATAAATTACAGATAAGGGACCAACCGCGTTCGCAACATCATTTGAACCATGAGCAAACGAGGCGAATGAGGCAGTAAGAACTTGAAGGAAACCATATAATGTTTCTGTATCTGGATCATATTTAATAGCGGCATCATGCATTTCTTGATTCTTATCTGCATCATAATCTGCTACTTCTTTATTAACGCCATGTAAAACTTTTTTGCCAATAATTGAAATGCCCGCCTGAAATATATTTTTTTTGACATTCGAACTGTCATCAGATGAAACATCTTGAACTATTTTATTCTCCTCAGTTCCTTCTTGCTTTTCGATATTATTTCCCCTTTCAGCAGCATTATCGGCAGTATTATCATAACGAGGTTGACTGAGGCATGGAACGACGAAAACATGGTACCATCTGAGTCCAGTTTCTTTTCCAATGATCTTTCTCTTCAAAAATTGTGCATAAAAGAAGTAACTAAAGATAGAGGATAAAATTGTAGAAATAACTACAATAAGTGCAATACCATAAGGTGGGAGTTTGTCTAATTTGAGACTTGGTGCGCCTTTAAAGACGAGGTAAAGTACGTTGATAGAAATGGTTAACGCAAAGTAAATTGGGACAGCGATTAAACCTCGTTGGAAGGAGTTGTCTTGATGTACAAGAACAAAATATTTTGTTCCCAAGTAGATACCCGATGCTACAATTCCAGCTACTACGGGTGAAATAAACCATGAAGTTACAATTTTTGCAACACCATTATAAGACCAGTCAATGGCTAAGTAAATTTCATTTGAAAGAAAAATTTTTTTTTTTGTGAGATTATTTTTTTTTTCTTTAAACAACAAAACCTAAAACAAATGAAATCGTGAATCTTACTTTCCCAACCGAAAGCAGAGATTCCAACACCAATTATGGCACCAATAATTGAATGTGTTGTAGAAACTGGCCATCCGCGGCTTGAAGCGAAGATGACCCATGAAGCTGAGCCAACTAATGCGCAAACCATTGCCAACTATGTTTATTTGTTATCATTAAAGAAAAAAATTATTAGTAATTACCAATAAAATAAAAACAGAATGTGACCATACTTACCATGAGCAATTCTGGATTATCTGCAAATAATGTTACTTTTATAATTCCTCCCTTAATGGTTTCGGCCGTGTGTGAGCCCAGTAAGAAAGCTCCTAAAAATTCGGTGAATACGGCGATCACGCAAGCTTGTTTCAATGTAAGAGATCGGGAACCAACAGATGTCGAGAAACTGTTGGCTACATCATTAGCACCGATACCAAAGCCATCGGCGAACGCAACGATTGCTCCAATTACCAAAAGCCAAACATAAGTATGTGGTTCCATTGCAAATAATTTTCTTTTATTTTTAAGAAAAGTAATTATTTTCTCGAAGATTTTTTTTAATTAATAGTATATCTCTCTGTATAAGATGCAAAAAAAAAAAATTTTTTTTTTTTGCCCTAAACCTATAATCATAAAAAAATTTTCGCACTGAGATTCTTTTCAAATTTCAAGCTCTTTTAATACTGTTAGAAACACGTTTACATGTCTCGTATATGATTCGTTCACATTTTATAGTTTAAATAAAAGATTAATAAAAAGAAACAATATAATGTTTTTTTTCAATGTAGCCACATTTGATTAAAGAATTTTAAATTCTAGTGGAAAAAAACCGGTTATTAGGCTAGAAATTTTTAATTCAATTTTCAATTTTTAATTTTTAAGCACGTGTAATGAATTTCAATCTAGATTTGTCATCATCTTTCATAGGGCTAAATGTATGGCGCAGAACAAAGAAAATTGTCATACCATTCACGAAATATTAAAAATTGAGACCAAAGAATTATTAATAATTTACCAAAACAAATTGTGAATACGTAACACTAAAATCGCCGTTCATTTTTCCGTATACGCCGTAATTAGTAATTTACTAAAAAATATTTGTCTGATTTGCTAAGAAATACAGCCCGGCTCAGTTTTGGTCTGGAATGGGAAAATCGAACTTACAAAATCAATTTGATGCTATGTCAATCATTTCGTATTGTTCTGAAAATTTCAAATTTATTTTTTTCTCCATTAAAAAATATTTTATAATAAAGCAAATCAAAAATTCCATTTAATTTAAACTGATAATGCCTCAACTTAAGGCATAGAGTTGCCCGTGCCTTTATCTGGATTTAAACGGTTACGCAAGGGATTTAGAACTTCGAATATTATAATGGTATATATTTTATAATAATATCAAAATTTGCCGATCATTTTTGCCATTGAAAAATTAATTATGTCAATCAAAATACCGGAAATTAAAAAAGATATTCACAATTTTTAAATGAATTTTTAATTAAATTTTGTGTCAAAGAGATTTACAACCCAGCAAGTTTTGAATATGATGGTCTTTTAATATGATTTAAGGGTGTAGTTTCATTACCATCCATTGATTATATAGCGTAAGGACCTTTTTAAATTTATTTTATTAGTATTAGTATGTATATAAAATATAAAATAAAAATTAACTATACCTTAGGGGATCGGAATCGATTTCGATATTTAGAATTGATTTGAGGATCGATTATCGTGATTATCGCGATTATCGTTTTTCTCTGAGATCCGATTTTCGATTAATCGGTAAATCTAATAAAAAAAAAAAATCGCGGGATTAAAAAAATAAAAAAAAATTTGCGAATATTAAAAATTAAAAAAAATTCGGAATTAAAAAAAAGTACACATCCGAAAAAAAAAAAAATTAATAAAATTAAAAAATATACAAAATTTAATTAAAAAAAAATCAATTAATAAAAATTTATCATTAAAAATTAAATTAAATAAATATATAAATTATATAAATTACAACAATTACAAGTTAAAGTTTCATAAAAACATCATTAACAAGTTGGGGTTGGATTATTTATCAATAAATTGTATTATTAATTTAAATTTTCTTTGTTATAGATATCCTAAAACTTTAAAAAATTAAATTGTTAACATCTATTTGCGAACCCTGACATTGCCCAGGTAAAACTGCTAGTTTTAATAATAATATTTTATCATGAAAATCAATTATTTTACGATTTATACGACTTTATAGTTTAATTTTTATAATAATTAGTTTATTTAAATTTTAAATATGAATATTTGACAAAAAATTATAAATTCTTTCATATAATTTGTAACTAAACATCTAATTCAATTCCTAAAAGATTTAATTTTTGAGTAAACTTATTCATCGCGGGGGGTACTCCTTATAATATATACCTTATCCTAACCTACCCTAATCCTAATATTACTCTAAACCATGTGACACTAACCAAGGTGACAAATAGGGTTTCACATATGAAAAAATTTCTAATTCCCAAGAATATATATGAAAAATGAAAAAGGGAGGGGATGTGACACGGGTGACAAAAGGGAGGCGACGATATCGCACCTACGATAAATAAATTATTTCTTGATTTTTTATGGTTATCAATTAAAGTCGATTTCAATTCAATTATCAATTAATTTGATTTATTAGAATTGATTTCAATTTTTTATTACTGTACAATATTTAATGGTTTATAATTTAGATATTAACCATCAGAAATAATTGCTATATTTGTATTTTCTATTTAATTAATTATCGTTATATACTAAATGAATCAAAAATTAAATCAATTAATAAAAATCATTTAGTCTAAATATTTTAATTCATTATAACATTTTATCTTTATTAACCTAGCCTTTTATTTACATGAATAAATTTATTTTCAGAAAAATTTTTTTGATATATATTTTTTTATAAAGGTATATTAAATATATTATCACCAGATTCATTTTCAGTTATCTTAACATCTAAGTTAAAAGGATACAATAGTTGATTCTTTATGTTAGAGTATCTGACCTTAGAATTTTCTCTAAGTCTTATAGGTATCTGTTATATTTAAATCAACTTAGCAATTTATTATGTCTTAGAATTTAAGATATATTAGTTGAACTCATAATAACAAATTCAGTAGCAAGTTAGTGTAGGATATCATAACAAATTTTAGATAAAAAATAATATTAAAGGAAAAGTAATTTGTGTAGATTTAACTTAATTCCTTTATTGATAACTTAAAACTTGCAAGCAACTTACAAATAAGTAATATAACTTACAAATGAGTTAATTTACAACTTAAACAAAAGGTTATTCTATTTATACTAAATTAATTTACTATAGCTAACTATTTGCTATACTATAAACTAACTATTTTAGTAAACTTCAGCTATAAAATAATAATAAAAGATAATAAAATAAAGATATAAAATATAAGATAAATCATATAAAATAAGAAAATAAATAATATAATAAAGACATTTTAGAATGAAAAGTTATCTATTATTATGAGTATAATTAAAATTCGTAATATTAGATGAAACTGGTAAATTTGGTTGTTCAAGTAAATCATGTAAATTTTTAATATTTTTCTGATTTGCCTATTATAGTAATTGTTGATCATTACTATATTTTTTTAATAAAATATGATCTTGAATTTTTTGTTGAATTACAAAAAATAGATAAAAAATTTTATGTGATTTTTTATTTGTTAAATGATTATAAAATATACATTTTATATGTAATTTTTTTATCTGTTAAATGATTATAAATTATATATTTTATATATGATTTATATCTGTTAAATGATTATAAATATACATTTTATACATAATTTTTATCTATTAAATAATTATAAAGTATATATTTTATATGTGATTTTATATCTATTAAATAATTATAAAGTATACATTTTATATATAATATCAGCAAAGCAATTAACCAATAATAATAAAGTCATATGGATAACACTGTATAACAATTTCTTGATTCAAAATTTTACAAATTCTGAAAATACCAAAGATTAATATAATTCTGCTAATCTTTCAAATATTAATAATAATCCTAATTTTATAAATAAAATAAAGTTTAAAAATATTCAATTTTATACTTATTTTTAATATTTCACTTTTTATTAATTTTATTATTTATTACGTATATTTATTTTTTTAATTTATTTATTTTATCTATTAAATTAATTAATTTATAGTGTAATAATTAGTTAGCTATAATAAAAGAATTTCATATAAATAGATAAACTTTTTATTATATTGTAAATTAACTCTTTTATAAATTTCAAAATTTTTTTGCAGATCTGTAAACTCTTTTGTAATACAAGTTTCAATATTAATAAAAAAAATCAATTAAATCTTATATCTTTTTACTTTTATTATGTTTTTATATAGTTTGATATAATCCCTATACATTATTTATAATTGAATTTATCATCTGAATTTTTTAATCAAATTTGTTCATATTATTATTTTTCAAGTCTTTATATTTAATAGATTTATTAAGTTTTATATATAAAATTAATAAAGTTAAAAGTTAGATAAATCTTAATATTATAATTATGATTAGAAACTTTAAGTAGAAAGTTAAAGATATTATTAAACTGAATTAAAAAATTCTATAATAATAATATTTTTAAATATTTTTTTCTCATTTTTTCATATTAAATATACATTTTTTACTAAAGAAAACAGTATATATTTTATGCTAAAATTTTATAAAATTATATATTATAAAACTTAATATTTTTATAAAATTTTAATATTAGATTTTTATTAAAAAAATGTTTCACTAATAGTAAATTTTATTGAAAGATTTATTATTTTAAATTAGTTATCTTGATTACATAATAATAAAAAAGCTATAACATTTTATTTTAAATAATATATATATTATTATTAAATATATTTTTAATTATATAATACATAATAATAAATTTATTAAAAAAGTTTTTTAAAAGATATAAGAGATTATATTCTTTAATGTTAACTTTATTAAGCAAAATTTTAATTTAATTTTAGTGATAACATTATTTATACTTAATTTTTATCTTTAAAATATTTAAGTAAGAACTTGAAATTAGTCATTAAAAAAGCAAATCATAAAGTCAAAATTAGTTTCATTTTTTATATTATTACTCTTTTTGTCTATATAATTTCTTCAATAAATTTGAATATTTTAAGTATTTCAAGAAAAAAATCTCTTATTTATAATATTAATAATAATAATTTTTTTTTGTAACTTTTTTAAGTTTTTTTAAACAAATTTAGTAAAAATTATAATTTAAGTAATATTTTTAAGTCTTATACATAAGATTGAAATATAAAAAAATACTTTTTTGATTATAATTACTAGTAATAATTATAGTTTTATAATTCTATTCTGAGAATATTTTAATATATTTTTATAAAAATATAAATAAATAAATCTATATCTCTTTAACTATAAATTTGAATTTAATAATATCAAATATTTTTCATGA